GTTTGACGGTATATTCAACTTGATCTTGAAGAGACTCAGCATGAAAGTGCAGTCTCTTCTAACCGCTATCTTCAACAGATGTTTGGAACTGCACTACTTTCCAAGCATCTGGAAAGTAGCAAAAATCATACCGATCCGCAAACCCGGTAAGGATCCAACATTGTCTTCAAGCTACAGACCAATCAGCCTCCTTTCAGCGCTGAGCAAATTGTTCGAGAAACTCATTCTCAATCGTTTGCTCAAGTTTGTCGAGGAAAATAACATTCTCCTTCCGGAACAATTTGGTTTCAGAAAGGGGCATTCCACCAATCACCAGCTAGTACGGGTGATGAATAACATCCGAAGTAACAAAGCTGTATCCAAGTCCACAGCCATGGCCTTGTTAGACGTTGAAAAGGCGTTTGACAATGTTTGGCATGATGGACTTGTGTACAAGCTTTGTAACTTCAACTTTCCTTTACATCTTATTAAAATCACCCGTAACTACCTCCAGCAAAGGTCGTTTAAGGTATCGTTGAATGGTTGTCTCTCAGACACGTTTTCGATCCCAGCAGGAGTCCCGCAAGGTAGTCTGCTGGGCCCCTTGCTTTACAGCATTTACACTTCCGACATTCCTCCCCTCGGTGACGGTTGCGTGTTTTTCCTGTTCGCAGATGATACCGCAATAGCCGTCAAAGGAAGGATGCCTCGCGAAATAACGAACAAACTTCAACGATGCCTTAACGCCTTTGCTGATTATGCCACCACGTGGAAAATCAAAATCAATGCCTCCAAAACACAAGCGATCATGTTCCTCCATCGGCAATCGCCCAAACTGAAACCGGCTCCATCTTGTACTGTAATCATGGATGGCACAAGGGTTGAGTGGTCCGCCGAAGTAACCTATCTCGGAATGTTGTTCGATGAAAAGCTCCTCTTCCGTTCGCATGTAGAGAAAACAGTAGTCAAGTGTTCTGCCTTGGTTAGGAGTCTGTATCCGCTGATTTGCCGCAGATCCCGCCTCTCAAGGGTGAACAAACTGGCCGTCTACAAACAAATCATAGCACCTGCGATCCTCTACGCAGCTCCGGTGTGGGAATCATGTGCACAGACTCACAGGAACAAAATTCAGGTCGCTCAGAATAGAGTGCTGAGGATGGTTCTTGATCGTCCTTTCGACACTAGAATAACAAATTTACATGAAGAGGCAGGCATTGCCAAAATAGATTCCAAAATTAACGAAATTAAGACTAGATTTGCAGAAAAATGTAATTTATCAGAACATGCTTTGATAAGCAATTTGTATATAGTAGGTTAGGTGTATATAGTAGTTTTAGGTTAGTTGTAGTTGTAAATAGTAGTTATAAGTAGACTCCTTTTTCCAATTCAAATCATACCAATCCCACCAAGGTGGTCATACTTTAAAATAGGCCTGATAGGACTAGGAACTGTAATTAATAATAATTGAAATTTCACAGGAACTAAAGTTGAAAAGACGCATCTGTGTCACTTGATAAGTTATACATGTAAACCACACAAATTCAAGAAATATAGATCATTTAAGTCAAAAAAAAAGTGCTTTTGCTCATTGTCGCTTCGGACGGCGTGGTGCTTGGTTGATCACGGTGTAATTTATGTAAACACCCTCCCCCTTTCACAACAATCTCTCCCTCTCCCCCCTTCACAACAATCTCCCCCCCCCCCCTCAACAACTTCTCCTAACAAAAAAAAGCAACTTCTCCTAACAAAAAAAAGCAAAAGCAATTGAATTGAATTGCATAAATTTTACCGAAAAGTTCAGCTGTTCAGATTTCGGTAAAAATTACCGAAGTCGGCGATAATTTCTAAGTGTGTATGTGTCGGCCACATACTTAATATATGTACCGTAAAACGGGGTAACATTGATAGTTGTTTAAAGTATGTTGTGAATGGCTGTTCAGTCTCGACAAAATCAAAATACTGCTATTTAATTTTTGTCCAACGTTTCGGTCCGTTGGACAAAAATTAAATAGCAGTATTTTGATTTTGTCGAAACTGAACAGCCATTCACAACACACATCAATTCCCAGTCGAACCGTTCCGTTTAAAGTTTATTCCAAATAATTTTTACACCAATGAATGTTTTTCAAATTTTATATTTTTAAAACAAGTACTGAGGATCCAAGAGTCAATTCCTTAGTAATATGTTTAACGGAACTTAAAGCATTCGCACTATTTTTTTTTTAGCTTTGTGACCGAACTTCAGTTTTTTGATTTGGGGTTACTTTGATAATGCTCGATGAATGTAGAAAAAAATGGCTGAAACTCAAACAATTTAGTTCTTTAAATATGAAACTTAATCAGAAAACATCATAAGCAATAAGCAATAAGAATACAACATTGAATTTGTGATGGCTATATTTGAAATACATTTCATAAGTGATGGTTAGAGTGGTTTTTCAAACAGGCGAAAAACACGAAAATTGTTTTTTAATATGTTTGTAAAATACGTAAGACATACTATATAAAAACTAAATATGATATCAACGGAAATACCCTAAGCTATAATATGGAACCAATGTTTCTAATTTGGAAAAAGCGTAGCGAGTAAATTCAATCTCTAAATTATATTATCTAAGTTACCCGTATTATCAAAGATACCCCGTTTTACGGTACATATAAAAACCATGCGTGACCACACATACTATTCATTTGCGTATAAATTTCATGCGTACTTCTGAGTGGATTCTGTTTATGTGTGGTTAAATAAAAATCATGTGGAATTTCACATGGATATTTGTCAAGAAAAATGTGTAAATTGTTTTGAGTTAACCATAACCGAAACATTGAAATACTTGAAAATTTTAAGATAAAGTATAATAGTCAAAAATGCATGAAAAACATCAATTTTGTGTGGTTCTACGTCATACTGCGGTCGTGTCTAGGACACAACCCTTCAATTTTTTACCGAAAAATTTGGTAAGAAGGCCATGGTTTGGCAAGCTATTTGTGAGTGTGGCAAGTTGTCAAAGCCATTTGTGACGAAGGAGACGCTTAACACTGAAATTTACGTTCGGGAGTGATTGAATCGGCGTGTGCGGCCCATGATCCGTCAACATGATGGCCCAGTACTATTTGAGTCCGATTCGGTGTCAATGTACTACTCGAAAGACAGTAGCTTGGTACAAAGCCAACTGCGGATAATTATCATCAAATTGAAAGAGAATACTATAAAGAACATATATATGACATAAAAATATGAGTTAATTAACATGACGTTGTATTTATTCCAATAAGAAACTGTGCTTATACTTTCTGGGACACCCTATGTAATTATTAAAAAAAAAAACAGATTTAGTGTGAAATGAGGAAAAAGGAACCATTTTCCGGACTCCACTTCCCGGACCGCCACTGGATGATTCCAGCACTATTCGATTTCCTTAAATTTTTCACGTAGGATATGCTGATTTTAAGTAAAAAATTCTGCGGCAATTGTAGCTATATGAATGCAAACTCAAAAAGACAAAGATTAAGGGTGAAATGGGGCAAAAACGGCCACTTACTGGACTCGGCACAGGATGAAACCAGCACCAATCGAATTATTGGAAAAAGTCTGATAAAGAAAGCTTCTGTTCTTGTTTGAAATCTAGCGGCGTCTCAACTGTGAGAATTTGGGCTCGTTTTTTTCCCACTGTGCGCTGGTGGAAACATATTTTGGACCAGTTTTGGAACATATTTTGGGCCACCTGAATGTGCTGGACAGCGAGCATGGCGTACATATGTTATCTTTAGATAATGATGAACAGGTTTTCGACTTGCCTCAGATCACTATTTAAACACATTCTATCGTTTTTTGAGCTAAGAAACGGTTGCAATCGGATTTAACTGACGCAATAACCACATCCGAATGTTAAAAAAGTTTACGTTTAAAAAATAATAACTCTTGAAAGCTGTGTTCAATTATGATTTCGGACCGATTAAGCAGGAGTGTGAAAATACGTGAGTATATTTTCAATTTACTCTACCACTAAATGAAACATTTGACTGAAACCAAAAATGGTAGCCGCTAAGTAATGTAATAATGTTTATGTAACTTTCACAATATTCTTAAATATTTTATGTTTTATGTGATAAAATGTGCAACATAGCCAGATGGGTCAAAATAATAGGCCAAAATACATCCATTACCCTATATCAAACTTAGTGAAGAGCAGCCGTGGTTTGATGACCTAGCAAAAAATATTATTTAAAAGATTGACGTGAAAATATTGACGAATCTTCTGTCGAGTGGAATGCTCTATAGAGAGGGCGAGAGCCAGAGGAGCCAAGAACGTTGCCCGTCAACGGTAGCCGGCTCTAGAGAAGGAAGCAAAGCGCTCTTGTAGATGGGACAAGCGAGCGAAGGTGGACCCTCTAATGGCTGACGAAGGGGAGGAACATCTGGCGGTATTTGACTCCTCTATGATATCTCACGAGTCTAATAATTCATTATCCATGTTTTGCACCCCAATTTCCACTGTAATCTTTCTGCGATAATGTACCCGATAACCTAATTCGAGTTAATGCCTATAACAATTAAAATTACTCCCTCTCCGAACGTCTACGTCAATCAATTCAATCACAGCACATTGAACGATGTCAAAACTTTTACGTGATCACTATGATGGGAAAAGAAAACTTGAACATGTCAGCATCCAATTACGTACAACAGCCACATAGAAAAATAAAAAAAAAAAACGTTTCCTTGAGCAAAGAATTCAATGCCCGTAATTATTCAGATTGCATCATATCTGCGAAACATGAAAGAGGGTTGAGCTCTTCCCCAATCGTCATAACACTGCTGTCTGGCACGCGGAAGGGGCGATGGGGCACAGTAGCTGTGTGACCCGTATATCAGTTACTGGCGATCGTTTATTTCAGCTAGAATTGTTCGTTTTCTCTGTGCCTCTTTATGCACGCCAAGTGCTCGAATGATGAATTATTCAAATCTTCCGTTGTTGGGTTGTTAGTTCTAAGCGGGATTTCTAATCGAACGGTTCAAAATGACAACGTTGCCCGGGTTGGACAAGAAGCCGTCCATTTACGATGTGTACAAAACCACGTTGGGACCGAAAGATTTGCAGAAGGCAAAGGAACAGCTGCACGAAGATGAAAACACCCGGGAACCGGCGTTGGCTCAGATGCGAGAGTACATTGCGAAACACCCGCAGATCATCCGGTGTCGAACGGATTGCTTGTTTCTGCTGAGGTTTCTTCGAGCTCGCAAATTCAACATACAGGCCACGTATGAGATGTTTGATAACTGGCTCGTGGTGTGCAATAAAGCGAGAGAATTCTTTCGATTGGAACCAGACATAATGAGTCCCCTCGTAGAACAGGCCATCGTTGTTCCGGTGGGTGCAGATCCACACGGCCGCTTGGTAGTCATCATCCGATTTGGCCTATTCGATACTCAAACCATTACTCCGGAAGGACAGATTCGCCTGACTACGCTGGCATTGGAGATGTTCCTCGAAACGGAACTGTATCAGGTCAATGGGTTGGTGTTGGTGCTTGACCTTCAAGGGACCACCATGGCTCATTTTGGTGTGTGGACATTTCCCAAGCTGAAAACGGTTATGTCTGCTACGAACGATATCCTTCCGATCCGGCTGAAAGAAGTTCACGTCGTCCAGCTGCCCAAGTATGCCACAATACTGATGGAGTTTTGCGTTTCCGCCTTGAAACCAAAGCTGCAGAAACGGCTAAAGGTAGGGCGTTGCTTGTGTTTGATATTCTGATAGAAAAAATCACACCGTGAAAACTTGCTACATCATGCGTGATATGGTCAACTTTAATGCTTCACCATTCGATGACCGTGCGGCTGCATTTTGTGCTCCATTATCAAGTGGTTGTATTTTGTTTTGCTTTCTTAAATGTGAACACCTTGAAGTTATGTGAAACAGCATCTAAGACAGTCAATTGGCTCGTGGTTCATGGTCAGGGTTATAGTGTTTAACGATAATATGTGATTTCCTCGCGCTACTGGAGACAATGAACATTTTGATGGGAAAAATGTTACCGGAAAGGAGTTGCGTGACTATTCTTTAGGACTAATGATCGTTTATCAAGCAGTGAGTTTACACCTTATCTCCGTGAGTTAACACTCGATTAAAAGAGGATTTATATTCCACATCATTTTAGCCATTTGAATGCATGTCCAGTGAACAGTACGTCTGAAAACTAGTTAATTTAAACCTTTTACGAAAGCAAATTGAACAAAGGTGCGGTTTACTGAATGATCCTGAGCCCAAAACGAAACCTTAAAATACACTTTAAAACGGATTTTGAGCGAGTTTCCTTAACTAACCGGTGTGACCTTGCAATGCGTTGCTAAGCATTTAAGGTAAATAACAATGATTTATGATTCTGGGTGAGCTCGACACTCAAAGAAAAGTGAGAACCTAGCGGAAGATAGAGGAGCGAAGAGAAGCCCGCCAATGGTACTCGGCTCTAGAGAAGAAATTAAAGCGCTCTTGTTGATGAGTCAAGTGAGCGTGGGTGGACTCATTGGCCTACGAAAGAGAAAAAACTCGGCGATATTCGACTGCCCTTCGAGTGGAGCAAGGATGAACCCAAGGATGCCGTCTCCACTCTCGTTGGTTTGAGAATTTCGAACAACATCGTCAAGTTTCGACGACCGACTAGCCATCAGCTTCCCGGTATGATTCATTCCAGATATAGGAGATAGAACCAGCTATCCGGTGCATGACATCCAATTCCTGGATCGATTGCATATCATCAGAGATGCTCAAAGCTGACCCCGTGGGACACCGTGACATTTCCGGCCGATTGAATGCAAGGCATCTTAGTGATGGTCCCAATTGGTGCAACAATTGGCGAGGCATCATGTTACTGCGAATTGTTCTTGAAGTGTTGTGCTAAGTTACCCTGAATCGCAGGAGCAGATCGACACGAGTCTCTGACGGCACCAGGTAGAATTGCGTGCCGGATGATCTTGTTTGGACCATTATTGGAGCGTGACAATCCAGGAGCAGGCAACTTCTTCCAAGAGTCCCTGTATTTGGTATTCATTGACTGCGAAAATTCTTTGGACCGACTCGATCATGAGAATCCGTGGGGTACATTGGTAGCCTTTTTGGCCACAAGGGTGCTTTCATCGCTAAAAATTCGGTTCGCCAGCTAAGCGGAAGAGTGGATCATATTGTTAAGGTTCTACAAAGGGTCATTATTTTGTTTACTTCTTCTTTTTGAAATATTCTTCGATCATCATTTTCTAAATGTATTGGTAAAATTCATTGGAATTGCATGTCCCCACGCCAAAACTGCCCATTTTTCATAAATATCAACTGGTATGGTGAGGAAAACTTAACCATCTCTTTTCTTCCTTCATTTCAATACAACAGCAAATGTGATGTCACACTATCTAGTGGATAAGAATGTAGCAGACAAAACATAAGCACTGCCAGACTGCGCTGTATGCAAGTTTGTTTATACCCCTGAGCGGGAAAGTGTATAACAGGCTACGTGCACTGCTGCCATCAACCCTGTTAGTGTTGAATTCAATCTGCTGTGACTTTTTTAATTGGGCCGGTAAAATGTTTAAAATGGTCATTTATGTTTTATATAATCAGTTTTTGATATTTATCCACCATTAAATACATCTACTCATCTATGTTAATAAGGCAGACTTCGCAATTAATTGTTTTAATAAACTTAAATTAATTGCTAGAGGCAATACATCTGGCACCGCTGTTTCAATGATACTTTCACGATTGCTAGCAAAGCAGTGAAGTAGAAATGGTTTTCTTTGTGATGAATTTTGTTCACCAAGAGTTTTGTGAAGCAGTTGTTTTGAGTTTCGTGTATTCGATTGCGTTTAATTGTGCTATACTTCGTAGAACACAAGTAAGTAAATACAGTGAATGTGTTTTCCCCAGGAAATTTTCGTGTTTTACCCACGAAATACATATTTAAAATTTTCGTATTCATAATATTTGAATGTATGTGTAAACTAATGATGATGATTTTATGATATTTAAAAAAGAAGAAGAACACAACATTACTTACCCTTTGTAGAACCTTAATATAATATATTTGCTGAGCGGCTTGGTGCCTCAATCTATGAGTCACGACCCACTAGTGGGTCTGCAGTATTGAAATTTTCTTATACTAATTTAAATCATTTATAGGAATATTTTTATTAATTTATTAATGGACTCGCATTGAAAAAAATATTGCAACACTCATTTGAATATTGCATCACCTTGAAAAGTTTAGCATCACTCAAAGAAGTTGTGTCAAGGTGTTTGAAATTACTTCGGAAAGCACTGAGTCAGTTTAGAAAACTATGGAGTTTCATCCAAAACAGCTCAAAATCATTTCGAAAAGTACTGAATCGTCAGAAATGTTCGGAATCCCTCATATGATGATATGATGATATGGAACTACCACACACTGTAGCAAGACAACTGTCAGTAGACTGTGGACTACCCTCGCTGTTTGACATGATCAATTAATTAATTTAGCTTTATTTAGGAGGCTTTCAGCCTTAGGCTGGTTCGCCTCCAATTAACATGATCAAGTTTAATAACCTCTAATTGTACTCAACCAACTCCCCGGCAAGGTGACAGATAATCTTAGTTTCACGTACCCACTTGCAAATAGTAGATGTCGCCACACAACGTAAACAAAGGGACTGCCCTTCACCGCCGCAATGGTATTTCTCTATGGGAAGGCAACTTTTTGTTTCACCATGTGTGGATGTCAAGCAACAAGCAAGAATGCCATGTGAAAAGAGCGATTTATGATTTTCGTGGTGAAATGAAATAAATCCAAACAAATTGGAACAGATTGATTGAAGTTATATATATTATATAATCAAATAGAAATAAAAACACATTGGTTAATTCTATTATATTTTGCTCTTGAATATTATCAGTCTTGAGAATAATGTTTCTGAGCATACTTGTGCGGTGAAGACTTGCAATAAAAAGCCGTATCATTAAAAACAGTTTACTTCCCCATCTTTCTATTGAGGGGTGAAAAAAACACAAAATTGATTCTTATTCGCGGTGAGTAGCAGGTTTGCTGTGTGAACACTAACATTTCGTATATCCATTCAAACATGAAGAAATAAATAAAATAAATTAAAATAAGCGTCTCTCAACAAAAGATATTCATAATGAGCTTCTAAAACGAATAAATTTCAGTGATTGTCTTTTGTTACACCCGTCCGTTTAATTAACATTGTTCCCCACCAACTTGAAATTTCAAGAAACAGATGAGGCTATCTGTTTTTATTTTCAGTATTTTATTTACTTTATTTACATATCTGCATTCGCCCTATTCAGATAACACTTCTGAAATTTGTGAGTTTGACAGAACCACCAGCACCAAATTTTCGGAGTACACTGGAAATGTACTGGACTTGTCAAGTTGCCCCCGGGTTGTACTCAACCTGCCATTGTATGAAGGGCCAAACACGGTTTGGGTGAATCCGTGGGCAACATTGCTCACGTGCATCCACGGGATAAATGAGAACGTCCTTCCAACAACAGGACCATACAACCGATAACAAACAGGCCATCCAACAGGAGCATGCCCCATTGAATGGAGAGAAGAGCCCGCCCTCTTTTCACGAAATGTTAAAGAAAGGGAGTTGGCATTTCCACTCTCCCCATCCATTTCGCTTCAATCGGGAGGGCCCTGGTGGACATTTCCATACCCGGCATTTAATGTTCCATATAATAATGGAATGAAAGTTAAGAGAAATATAGGAAAAATCTCACCCGATATGTTTCAAAAGAATCCATGACATCACGATGATTTCGAAGTGCACCCATACACACTTAGAAATACCTAATTTTACACGTGACGCTCCGAGACAGAAAAGTTCGTTACTTGATGAAAAGTACGTTTGATTGGGCTGAATTTTGCGTCTATTATGACTCAATTTTATGTCAAAATTAACGATCGTATATGTAACTCTTAGAGCACCTAAATTTACATGAATTTTTCTAAGTGTGTAGATATGCTGCCTCTACTTGTTCAACCGATGTTAAAAACAGCACTCTCGCCTTTCCTTTCTCACACAGCAGTGAATAACCCCCCCCCCCCAAAAAAACCACGAAACACACACTAGCTGCTCTGATTAGAGGGGAAAAAGGACTGCTACCATTTCCCATCGTCAATCACTCGCGACCAGGGCCCAACAAAGTCACTTTCAATCGGAAATCGTCAATCGACGACGAAGGTGTCAACCATCACTTTCAATTGAAAGTCATTCTGTCTTCTCTTCGAGCAGATCCTCTTCAACACCAACAGAAACACTTTCGATTAGTTTTTATGCGGTTTGTTTTGGCTTGACTCGTGTTTATTTCGCATTGAAGCGAAGCTGTTCGATCCAAATTCGCGCAGTTTTTCTGACTTTTGTTGATTGTTCACTCGGTTAATTTAAGCGCATGCGCATAGATCTGTGCACGTAGATGTAAAATTCATCATTATAGGGTGGTTTGTTTACTCATCAATATCAGTATTTTTGGAATCGAAGTTACGGCTAGAGACCGGAAATCGATGACCGACGCCCTTATGAAATCCAAGATGGTGGCATCCGATTTCAGAAAAAGTGGGAATTACTGACACCGACCCATAAATATGGGTATTTTTGGAATCGGGATGACGTCTAAAGATTGAAAATCGATATGCGACGCCATTTTAAAATACAAGATGGTGGCTTCCAGTTTTAAAA